GATGTCTGGTGAGGCTGACTGTTAGAGTATCGGAGTAGAATGCTTTCCCTCCTTTTTTTTTTTTTTTTTTTGAAATGGGTAGTTTTTTTTTGTTTTTACAGAGGGTGGGTACTTTTTTTTTGTTTTTTTTTCTTACAAAGGGTGGGTCCTATTCCAGCCCAGGTGGATGGTTTTTTTTTTTTTTTTTTCGTTAACCACCACTACCTCCTAGCCTGTTTTTGCCGATCCTGAATTTCACTGCGCTGGGTCCCATTATATTTTCTTTTCTGGTGCTCATGGGGAAAAAAAAAAAAGAAAAAAAAAAATGGAACGAAAGAAAAGGAAAAAAGCAACTACGCTAGGGATGTGAAAGCAGCTGGATGCAGAACGTTGGCCACGTGTGAGAGTGTGCTCTCCCAACGAGCGTTACGGCCCACAGCAAAACATGGCAGCAGGAAATAATTAAAAAAAAGGAAAAAGGAAGAAAAAGCAACAACTCTTTGGACCTGAAAGCAGCTGGGATACAGAACATTGGGTACATATGAGAATCTGCCCTCCCAACGGCGTTACAGCCCTCAGCAAAACACGGCAGTAGGGGGAGGGAAAAAAAAAAAAAAAAAAAAAGGAACAAAAAGCAACGACTCTTTGGACGTGAAACCAGCTGGACACAGAACATTTGGGTACATGTGAGAATCTGCCCCCTCCCAAAAAAAGAAAAAAAAAAAAAGAAAAAAAAAAGAAAAGAGAATCTGCCCTCCCAAGGGGGCATTACAGCCCTCAGCAAAACACGGCAGTACGATGTTCCTAAGGGACGCTGGACCCGGTTTCCAGCAGGTGCCGCTCCCCACCAATAGATGGAGCAGCCCGAGGAACAAGCAAAAAAAAAAAAACAAAAAAAAAACACGGCAGTACCGGGAAAAAAAAGAAAAAACAGCAACAACTCTTTGGATGTAAAAGCAGCTGGATACAGAATCTCGAGTACATGTGAGAGTGCCCCTCCTGGGTTTCAAGTGTCAGCTGTCCTTGGAAAGCGCCCTGCTTCGTTGGCAGGGCACTGAAACTAATTTAGAAGCAAAAAATAAAAATAAAAGCACAAAAAGCAAAAATTGAACCTAGCGACGATTCTGGGCAGATGCATTCCTGGAAGCACTACGGTGAGAACACCTCCTTCGTGGCTTTTTCCCCTGTACGTCCTTCCTTTCAACTGTGCAGGTTTGTTTTTCGTTTTTTTTTTACCCCAATCGGGCCCACAAGACCCAAACGTTTTCATTGTGCCAACCCTCGCCCGGACCTCTTAACTTTTCGGTTGAGGTCATTTTCCCAATTGTGACAGCTGTGAAAGGTAGTGGTGGTTTAACAGAGGGTGCGTAGTATTCAAACCCATACCATGAAAGCTCAACTAGGGAGTTTCTCAGCATGGGAAAAAGGATCTTTTTTTTTTTCTTTCTTTTTTTAGCCACCAGTCCTAGTAGCAGGGGTGATACGAGCAGCCCCTCCTAGCAGACCAGCCGGTGCTCCAAAAGGATCTTAAAATCCATCTGGAAGAATTGTACACACATCGTAACTGGTGACGAAGAGAACATGAGTTCGAGTCCTGATAGAATCGGATGGATACAATCGTGCTATTAAACATTACGGGCCTGGGTAACACCTTTTTCAAAATGAAGGGGATGGGGGTGTGTGGCGTGGCGGGTAGGGCGGAGGATCTGGAAAGCACGACAGCTTAAACCGCCTCCACCTCTGTTACATGCCCAGATGGGCGATGTAGATAATAACCAAGGATTCGCAATGTGATGAAAAGGACTGAATGGACGATGCAGTGCAAGTGAAATCTCAACGAGCAGTGTATATTCTGATACATACAAAATGGTGCTTTACAGCGCAGTGGAAGACTTAGATACAAGTCCTGACCTGACTGGGACTGACCTCTCTCACGTAGTACAAGATAGCGAAGCAGAATGCTAGAATACTGATGACGAGCCCAATCAATGCCGCAATGCAGACTAAACATACATCATTCTCACCACAAGGTGTGAAGGGGCCTGGCGCTATACACAGGAAGAGGGCGCCAGGTCCAGACATGCACAGGCGAAGAGGAGGGGATCAGACGAAGAGGAGGGGGGAGATGCGAAAGTCGTCAACACCAAGTCTCGTTACAGTCCCAAATAATCCCTCGTCAAAATGTCTGAAGTCCAATGTCAAGTCTGGATCCACATGTCACCAAGCTCTCTCTTTTTCTCTCATAGTCTGCTGATGCAGTCAAGTCAGATATCGAGAGGGTGAGAGGGAGATGGTGGACTGAGAAGAGGAAGAAGAAGAACTCTCTCTCTCTCTCTCTCTCTCTCTCTCTCTCTCTCTCTCTCTCTCTCTCTCTC